GCACACACACACACACACATAGACAGACCCCCAGATACACACACACACACAGTGGCATTGGAAGTATCTATGAATGTGAACTGAGATTTCTCGCTCAAGCTCATTTAGTGGCGGATGGGGGGGTTTCCTTTGTCCTTTTGGTGTTTGGTTTGGGTGGCATTCATGGGCCTTGGTGTTTGGGTGGAATTATGGGACAGATTGACATCGTGGCAAAAAGGAATTCTCAGCATTTAAGGATATCAAATGGTGGATATTTAACTTTACCTGCGAGATATAGCCTTATAGGCCTAGGAATATCCAAGTAAAAGCTAAAACTAGCTTAGAGAGAAATACCTGAAAAATACCTTAGTAGACGCCTGAAAAGGTTCATTAAAGTGATCCCATTCAACCATTAGCTAATGAATAAAACAACACACGGCCACTGTTTCCCAAAGCTTCGATTCTGAAAGTAGGGGAGCACTAAGATAGTAGTGGATAAGCCTACGATCCTCTGCATATTGCGAATAGATTCCAACTAAGACAGGATTTAATGAATGAAATGTAAAACAAAAAATATTACAAGTTTTCCTACGTTTTTAAATACAAAACTTTGATCAAAAAATGATCAATTTTGCATTTGAAAGCGTCACAGTTCTCAGACTGTAAACTTAAGCCAACATTTTTTAACCCGATTGATAGCTGCATCCATTAGATTATCAGAATTCAAAAGTTGTTGAAAAATTATATTTAGTTATATAGAAAAACGGCAGCTTATTCTAAAAATTTAAAAAAAAATATAAATTTTTGTGAATTGAAAACATAAAACACTAACATACAAGAAAATATATATTATATTCGTATTATACGAGTAAGTCATTAAATTTTTTCGGAGTGCTTTTTTAACTGAAGAAAAAATAGAGAGAAACTCTATTCCCGATTTGGAATGAAATGAGGTGGTCTCTCTACTATATTTAAAGATCTTTATTAGGACGATTTGGTGCTACGACAATACTCAATCCAGGCAGAAGCTGCATACGACCGAGGGGCGCTACCGCATTACGCGCGGACAAATGAAACCCCACCAGTAAAGGATATATATTCTCTTTAAATTTCTTTCATATTCATGTTTCCCCAATTTGTCCTTCATTTTGTGATCTTGACATTGTTTCCCCTCATACATTTGACTTTCTTGTCTTTGGCCTAAAGCCTTTTTAGCCTTACGCATACACCTAAACACTGCCACACACATACTTCCCCCTCCTCCCCGCCCTGTCGTGTCTGTGTTGGCTTATCAAAAGAGCAAAAAAGTAAACCGTTATGTGCGGATGCATGACACTTTTGAGAATTTATGTGTTTGTATCTCATTAAGCGGTGGCAGCAGCAACAGGGTGGCGGGGTCCAGCCCAAAGGTGTCCCGTGCACACACACTCACAACTTTTTGGTGTGAGGGGGGTGGGGGGGCAAGAAAAACCGCGCTCCACCGGAAAAACAAGCCGTCAATGAAGCCTGAAAACTGAAAACTGAGTCGAGAGATGGGTGGGGGGGTAGGGGGGTTTCCAAACAAAAGTTTTTTGAAACATTTTCCAAAAATTATCTCTTAACACAAATGTGACACCCAGCACATGCCCCATGTACCACCCCCCTGAGGCATATCATAGTCTCCTCGTATATGCATGAAAACAGAAACGAACCGAAGCTCCACACACATCATAAATTTTAAGTGAAAATGAATCCTTTGGCAATTGAAGTTTTCGAAGGAGATTTTTCGGTGTTTGGCGTTGGATCGTCATCAACGCCATGGCAAGAGCAACAGAGATAGATATGTACATACATATGTGGGACGGAGATAGGGATAGAAAGCTACGCACAAGCAAGAGATAGATTGGTGGGGGAGGGCCAGGGAGAGTGGGAGGGGGAGGGGGAGTGCGTAGCGTGGCGTGTGTGGAAGTTCCTATCGGTATCTCTCTGGATGTCGTTGTCTTAATCCTTTGTTGCCCATAAATCAGCGAATCGCGTTCACATTTCGCGCATGTTCCTGTTCCTGCAACAGACCCTCCCAAATCCCCCCTCCCCCTCCCCATCCCATAGCCATGTGCCCCATAATTCAGGTTTAATTAACTCTGCGTGTTTATTAGCAAATATTAGTTTACAATTTGATATGGCATGTTTTTCGGGTGGGTGCGTCTGCTCTCAACTGAGATTTCAGCCGCATTTGGGGAGCAATTGAAAAGCGAGATTAGACCGAAAGCCCAAGGGTTCCTCCAATAATAATACAGAGAATATTCGTTTCTGTTTGGAAATTCACTAATTGCAGGCGATTCAATGGTTGCAGAACTACTTTTAAGAGGTGGGAGCTATTATAGTTTCCATAGACTTTTCATACCCATTGTTCCATTTTGTTAAGAAAGATTCCATAAATCCAATAACGACCATATTTGCTTTCTCTTTCAGAGTGAATTCTTGGATTCCAGCCCAGAAGGAACGTTGAAATCTTCTTCATTTCAGCTAATCTTACATCTATTTATCCTTGAAGGATTATGCTATTATGGAGCTTTTCGTGAAGTTCGGTCCCCAGAATCCAATAATAAAATACACAGTTTTCGGCGAGGCGCCAGATAAGAATTTCAGTATCCGTACCACGAAGAATCGAATGGAAAAATGGTATATTATAAACAAGAGAGGACGTTACACAGTACCGATTCTTCTGATCCCACTAGAAAACCTCTGAGACTACTCACAAAAGCCTCTGGGAAATAACAGACCCAAAAATTCACCTTTTTTTCAATCGGAAACGTGCAACTTTTTATTGAACTCTTCTTTTTCGAACTATTTATTTTGGAAATTCCTTTTGTGCCGCAGATTGCGGTCTAATTTTGAATCAAAGTATTCAATTTTTAGTGTGTGTTTAGAGAAAATCATGTAAATGTTATTTTGAATGCTGCGCCTTTATTGCATTTATTACATATATATAACTTACACTTACGATCCTAAGGGGAGGGGATTTTTGGGGGGAGGGCTGGGATGGTGTTACAGGGCATAGGATTGTTAGAGGAGGGCTGTGGGCATGGCGAAAAGGAAGCGAACGGTTTCGTTTTATAAATAATATCACAAAAACTCAAATACAAGTCGTATACATAAGTATTTATATCGTATATCGTATCATTATAGATGTAAACTATTCCCGATGATAGATTGATGCTCATGATGATGTTGATGATTGATAATGATGCTTGAAATGTTTTACATTCTCTGTAAGGATTCCTCTCTTCCGCCGAGAGGCTCTTCTCTTAGGTTTAGTTCTTAGGTTAGATATTCAAGATTCTTCTTAGTTATTGTTTGAGATTGGAGTTGCTGGTATACATGGGTTGTATATAGTATTCATATATGTATATATAATTTGTATATAATATTTATATAGTTGTTGTTTTTGTTTTTTGTTAAAATTGTGTGGCGTATACATGCGTTGCTGTGGCTACATTTTGATTTCGACTTTCTTCAAGAACATATAGCTTTTACCCTATCTTTAAGTACAGATATAGCTTTCCGTATCGTTCAAGATACATATTTTTATATAGTTTTTTTTTATGTATTTTATGGAAGGAAAGTGCTATTTGCTAATTATTTACATTTATATAATGCATTATTTTTTGGGTATAATTTTCTTCTTAAAAGTTTCTTTCAGGTTAACTTTGATTTTTTGTTTTTGTCGTTTAGGTTTAAGTTTTTTCCAAGAGTTTTACGTATACTGCGTTGCATTTGTTTTTGTAAATTGCTTAAATTTAATGATTTAATTTGTATAATTATTTTTAAGTATTTCGATTTTGGTTTTTGGCACGCTTTATTTTTTCGACCAGGAACTGCGGAATCGGAATAATATATAGCTTCCATGGGAACGATCGAGCCGAATTCAAGTTCCATTTATCATTCAAAAATATCGACATCCAAAGAAAACAAAGTTTTGTTTTGCTAGAGTTAACTTATTTTTCGTTCACTCAAATTCCGCCACTCTCATTCGCACTCAAGAGTGTTGTCCACTCAAAACCCGTTCCGTTCCACTCAATAGTTCTGCTTCTCTTTCTCTCTCTCGTTCACCCCACCTACTTTGTTGTTTTTTCTCTCTTGCTTTCGCCTCCATCCAATCCAACTTTGACGAACTCGTGTCGTCGCCTTTCGTCAAACGGTTCGCTCCGGCACCTATGGTTGTCTCTGTCTGGCGCGAACTGCACCCGCCCGCTTTTGTGATGGACAGCAGTTCGTCAAAGTGGTGGTAATTGAATTTCTCAAGCACTGCACTGCACTCGCGCGTGCGACTGCGATGGCATGCTGTCTGATTGGGAAACAATAAAGCCGGACAAAACACATAGCCAGCGGAGAGTGACGTCACTCTCGATAAGAGAGAGAGAGAGCATGGAACAAAGGGGAAACTGAATGCTGTTGGACTGTTGGGGAAATATTCAGCAAAAGTAGGGGAAATATTTTGTGCAGAGAGAGGAGAGTGGAACAAGAGAGAGAGAGAGCTTTGCGAGAGAGAGTCTTAAATTTGGGAGAGTAAATTAGCTGCAGATATTCTCAATGTTATGCTCCACTCTCTCCATTGATCTCTGAAATGAAATCAAGGCACAAAACAGGAATCTCAGCTGCTATTTGTTGGGGCTTACACTGTGCAACAGAATAATGGTAATGTTAGTAGAGACTTCTGTTAAAAACGTATTTTTTTGGTAATCAGATTTATGGCCACAATAAAAAAGTCTTATAAATACAGTGAAAGCTCTCTTGGGCGGACAGGGGGCTAAACTCTAAATATGATATGTCCGCCTAATGGAAGAGATTCATTAGGGAAAAAAAAACAGAAATAATTTATGGAAATAAGTATTATTTCCTTTCAAGAAACATGTCTTTCGATTAAAGGAAACTTTCCGTTGGTAGAACTTATGGAATAACTTTTGGAGTCAAAGGAACTTTTCCTACAATCAAATTTTTGCACTTCCGGATCTCCTAGATGTATTCCCCTAGTAGATCTTTCATATTAAATAGATTGCTTCTAGGAATAGGTTAAGGAACTGTCCGGGAGTTAAGATTTTGGTGCAAAAAGATTGTTCTGATATTTTTCTAGTCAAGGAAACAGTCGGCTAGTAGAACTCTTATTTGTAGAACTTTTAGGGGCCTGTAAATTGTAAATTCTAACTACGAATCTGTCCGCCCGTAGAGCTTTCGCTGTAGAAAAACATTCAAAAGTTTCACAATTAAGTCGGAGATCTTAGGAATTCCTCTATAACATTCTTTAGTATAACAGACCCACTCCTCATCCTTCTTCGGCAGGTATGCCACTCCTTAGGCGTTCTTCGATGACAGCTGCTTGGCCAATTCCGTGTACTTCAAGAACTTTGACTGCGGACTCTCGTCATACGGATTGATGGTGGGCGATGGCGATGGTTGCGGTGCCACTGCCGCTGCCACTGCTGGACTCCTCGAAGCGGATCTCTTGGGCGAGGCCATTGGCAGGGACTTTGGTGACTGTGCTGCAGCTCCTGGCGACTTCATGGTGGGCGAATCCTCGCCATTGTCCTTGACAAAGTGCACCTTGGAGAGGTGATGGCGATAGGCCCCCTTCGACCCGAACGGCGTATCACAGAAGGAGCACTTGATGATGGAGGCATCGCCACCGCCGCCGCTGCTGGCGCTCAGCACCGCCTCGTTGCAGGCCCAACTGAAGGCCACCAGATCGTTGCCCCCGTTGCCCATTCCCGATGTGGCAGAGCCTGTTGTTGTGGTTGCAGCACTGCGCGTATTGGAGGCTGGTGGATCTGTCGTATCGCAGAGCTTCTGCAGTGCCGCCAAAGGGTGGGCCTTTGGTTTTTTGGTGGAAATATTGCTTGAGTTGTTGTTGTTATTGTTATAGCAGTGTCCTGGAAATAAGGAAAAGGTTTTAGAATCGGTTTTGTATAGAGAGAAGAGGGGCTAAATAGATGGATGTGAATGATCTGTGGTTTGGCCATGAAGAGTGGGGATCTGTCCCTTGAAATTGATTGGAATATTCCTTAAAAAATGCGAGAAATTAATAAGAAATGGAAGTATATCATTTATTCTTCTCAGAGCTAACAGAATCGTATGAATGTTCTTTATAGAAAACTCTGAAGTATTTCTATCAAGGAAACAATGTTCCATAGAATCGGAAAAAGTTCTCTGAATAAAGTAGAAACTGTACCTTGTACTAGTTACAGATTCACTTGTTCAGAATTTGTTCTCCACTCTGTAATTCCCCCACAGATCATCTCAAGTAACCCCACATCTTTATAGGAGAGTCTCCACTTACCCGTATTATTATTATTATTGGCTTCCACTCCGCTCAGCTGATCGAACATCGAATTCAAGGCCAATAGACTTCCACTATCCGTAGCCGTTCCTCCAGTCGTTGCCTGTGGCGATGGCGACTCGCTGTTGGATCTGGGACTCTCCCGTAGATTTCCGGCCGTTGAGTCCATGCTAAACTCCTTCTTCACGTTGATGTGCTGCCGCGGACTGGCCTCCATTTCGCCATGATCCAGCTCCAAGGGTTCCGCCTTGATGGTCGGCGGTGCAGGAGGCGGCGGTGCTTGGGCTGGCGCTGGTGTGTCCGGTGTCCTTCGCGGTGTGGCCTGCTGTCTATCCGGCGTATAGGCGGACTCCACGCGGCTGGCGCTGCTCGATTCGCTGGCACTGCGATCGCGCGAGGCGTAGGAGGAGCGCAGCAGGTGCATGGCATGGGCATCCATCAGGGGCTTTGTGTAGTCGCTGCTGTCGTCGATCCCCAAACGCTTCAGGATGCTGGCGCCCAGAGGTGTGCCCATATCGGAGTATCCTCCCCCTCCGCCGGGGTGCAGGCCACGCGATCCCCTCGACTCGAAGCTCTTCTCGATCAGCTGCTCCAGGGCATTCAGCACGGATGGCGGCTTCTCGCCCGTCATCCCAGGACTCGGCAGGCGATCCATCGACTGGCTCTGGCCATGCGGACGCCTGGGGGGTATGGGTATGCTGTCGCCCAGGCACTTGCGTATGTGCTCCACAAACAGAGCCGTCTCGATCTTGCTGCCACACTTCTCGCAGGTGATTTTCGTGGCGGCAGCAAAGTCCCTCAAGGGCTTCAGGGCCGAGTCCAGACTGGAGTTGGAGCCGGAACGCTCCAGTTCAAGCAGTTTCCTCACCGGCAGAGATTTCTTGCGCTTCTCGTTGCGTGTCTGACGCCCGCGTTTGGAGTTCACTGCGGTGGCTCCTCCCCCTCCTCCTCCTCCTGCAGTGGCAGGCGGTGCCGGTGGCGAGACCGAAGAGGACGAGGACATGGTCGATGGAGATTCCTTGTAGTGCGACTGCTGGGCCATGTGGGTGCTTAGATCCTTGAGCGTGGAGAACGCCTGATCGCACACCTTGCACGTGAGCACCGCACTGACGCTGGCGGACGCTGTGGTGCCACCACTGCTGGCCGCCGGAGGAGGCGCTGCTGGGCCTCCCTCCCTGCCGTTGGGCGCAGCATTGGGTCGCTCGCGCTCGTCTCCTGACTTCCAGGAGATGATCTGCTCCTGGGATATGATGTTCGTGTAGTGCTGCGTCTCCTGCATGTGGCTGGTCATCTCCGCCAGCGAGCGGAAGCTCTGTCCGCACCACATGCACTTGAGGATCTGTCGCGTCTGCTCCGCCCCCTTGCCCAGCCACACGTCCTGGCCGCGCACCAGCTTCCGGGGCAGCGGCATCGTTTCCTTGATGAGCATATTCAGCTCCGATTTGGAGGAGTTCGAGGATGTGGTGGAGGTGCTGCTGCTGCTGGAGCAGGCCGACGTGGAGGTGGATGTGGGCACGCGGGTCATCGGCTGATTCCCTGCCCCGACTGCGGCGGCGGAGGAGGGTGAGGGTATCTGCACGCCACAGTGCTGCGTCTCCTTCATGTGGGTCGTGAGGCTGGCCAATGTGGCAAAGCTCTGCTTGCACCACACGCACTTGAACACGTCCTTGGCGGCATCCGCGCCCTTGTTCAGCCAATGGGATTGCCAGGCGCTGTGTCTTCCACCTGCGCCACTGCCTCCTCCCGCCGATGCGGATGCTGTCATACTCCTGTGGCTGCTGCTGCTGCCGCTGCTGTTGCTCGCTGGCGGTGGCGTCTCCAGGCGGCTCATTTCGCTCATCTTCTCCAGCGCTTTGGTGGCCTCACTGGGCGCCATCTTCTTGGCCGCCACTGCCGCCAGGTAGGGATTCAGGGGTGGCACCCAACTGCCCGGCGGGAGCGGGGATTTGTAGTCCGTGGCACGTGGCAGCTTGCGGACAGGGGAATCCCTCTCTCGCTCCTCCACCGTCGTCTGTCGCTTCCTGGTGCTCACCGACAGATCCAGGGGTCCATTGTCGCCCGATTCCGCCGGCTCTGGTTCCGGCTCGGGCTCCTCCTCATCGCTGGCCATCACCTCTGCCTCCTCGCTGGCGGGTCTCTTTCGGCTAAAATCCAGTGCCGGGGCCTCCTCCTCGGCCACCATGCTTCCGGGTGAGCCCATTCCTGCCGCCTGTTGCGTCGCCTGCTGCACCAGTGAGGCCGCTGCCGCCAGAGGATTCGTCAGCAGCAGGTGATTCTGTTGTGCAGCCGCCAGGTATGCGGCCATCGCTGCCGACTGCGGTGGCAGCAGTGCCGCGGCAGCTCCTGGCGCCAGTGTGGCCGTCAGTGGCAGTCCCACGGTGGGGGAGGTGGGCGTGTGCGTAGGCGTGGGTGTGGGCGCCGGCGTGAGGCAATCATTGGCGGAGCAGTGCGACTCATTCGACGGACACCGGCCATCGCCCGGCGCCGCGCCCGCAGAGGCATTCGATTCGCGGGACTGGCAGCGCGGACTGGCCAATTCGCTGGAAAGGATTCGAAGGGAAAGCGGGGTTTAAATGGAGGTTCCATCAGGGAAGGAAGGTTCTTTATTGGAATGCATGGAAGTGGCAGCAGATATTCCTATAAATCCCAGGCTCCACAGAGGCGAAAGGTTCGTATGTATTTCCTCATCATATAATCCCATAAGATCTCTTCTACTAATATCTATTTTTAGGAACCTTTTCGGGACACCGGCAGGTCTGCTGATTGGGAAATATACAGTTGGAAGTCTTCTTCATAAGCTAGATATTATCTTTAGCAGTAGATTTCAATCCTACGATCTTAGGAGGAATCCCCAATGCACGTTCTAGAAAAACTTGTTCAGGAAAACTTCTTCACCTACAAAACTAAGTAAAATTTAATTCTTTCAGAGCTGGAAACCTCTTACCCTCTCCTTAGTCACAGTTCCATAAAATTTCTATAATTTCTAACCACTTTTCAAAGTAATTATAACCCATATCATCATTAAGTAACACACTCTTATATCTACTGTCTTCTCAATATCAATCTATCATTTACTCGACTCTTTTCTTCACTTGGGAAAATAGTATTTCACTTAAGTTATAATATATAATTAATGATATTTCATTTCAAATTATAATCTATAATGAATGAAATTTTCTCAACCTGTAACTATAATTATTTCCTATGCTCCATCTATGCTTTTCTTTCCTATATTCCATGAAGAAATCTAAACTTTTATTTCTTACAAAAGAATCCCAATCTTCACTGAAGAAATCCCCTGTAGGTGGTTAAAAAACACTTCATCTGAACACTAAATGTTTTTATACCCGATACTCAAAATGAGTATTGGGGTATATTAGATTTGTGGTAAAAGTGGATGTGTGTAACGTCCAGAAGGAATCGTTTCCGACCCTATAAAGTATATATATTCTTGATCAGCATCAATAGCCGAGTCGATTGAGCCATGTCTGTCTGTCCGTCTGTCCGTCTGTCCGTCTGTCCGTCCGTCCGTCTGTCCGTCTGTCCGTCTGTCCGTCTGTCCGTCCCCTTCAGCGCCTAATGCTCAAAGACTATAAGAGCTAGAGCAACGATGTTTTGGATCCAGACTTCTGTAATATGTCACTGCTCCAAAAATATTTCAAAACTTTGCCCCGCCCACTTCCGCCCCCATAAAGGGCGAAAATCTGTGGCATCCACAATTTCGACGATACGAGAAAACTAAAAACACAGAATCGTAGAGGATGGCTATATCTTCCACAGTGCAAAATCTTAATCAGATCGTATAATTATTATAGCCAGAATCAAGCACACAATTTCATTCTTTCTCGCTCTGTCTCACTCTAACACACAGGTTTCATGGTCGGTTTTGCCAATTGCAAAATATGAGTTCAAGGATCTCAGAACCTATAAAAGCCAGAGCAACCAAATTTGGTATCCACACTCCTGTGATATCGGACCTTGACCGTTTCCTGTCCAAATTTCGCCACACCCCCTTCCGCCCCCGCAAAGGACGAAAATCTGAGGCAACCACAAATCTCAAAGACTATTAAGGCTAGAGTAACCAAATTTGGTACACACACTCCTTTAAGATGTCACTATAAAACGTATATCTCAGAATTTCGCCCCACCCCCATCCGCCCCCACAAAGGACGAAAATCTGTTGCATCCACAATATTGCAGATTTGAGAAAACTAAAAACGCAGAATCATAGATAATGACCATATCTATTAGATTGCTGAATCTGGATCAGATCAGATCATTTTTACAGCCAAAAGGAACAAATCAATTTGCAGTGGCTACGCAGCGTCCGACGTCACGCTCAGACTGATTTTCTGTCTCTCTCGCACGCACTCTTTGTCGTGTCGTTAAATATTAGCGGCGTCTGCCGGAGGAGAGCCATACTGACTTAGTATCGGGTATAACCGTAGAGTTGCGGTGTCCGCAGCAACTCACAACGTTCCCCCTCGTTTTTTATTCAAATCTATAAACTTTCTTCTATAAAAAAAAGGTCCTGACATTCCCATAAACCCAACACAGAACAGGACACTTCTACACCTTCGTATTTCCCCTGAGAAATCTCCAAAAATAAAACACAAATTAAATATTTTATCAGCTGCCCCAAACAATATTCAAACAAAATATTCCATTTAAATTCTCATTCGTCAAATATTTCCCCATCAAATAATTATCAAAAACAAAACTCAACTTTGAACCGAAACAACATTAAATTGTTCCCAAGAAAGCAAAAAAAAAACAAACAAACTTTAAGCTTCGCACACAGACATTCCACAAAACTCTGATGCCACATTCCACAAGCATAAAGGAGACGGGGAGGAGGAAGGGGGGGGGGGGGGGGGGGGGGGGAGGGGCACCACTCTACACTCACCTTGCACTCAATGCCTGGCGATAGATCTCCAGCATGACAGCCTCGTGCAGCATCATTTTGTGGCAGCAATTATTTTTGGGGTTTCACTTTTCTTTCAAATATTATTTATTTCTTTATATTTAGAACTATTTAAGATTACTGTTGTTTGGTAATTAATTTCGTCGCTGCCATTGATAGCGTTCTGTTCGCTTCGGTTCGGTTTTTTGGATTTGTTTGTGTCACACTTTTTCGAAAAACATATGCGAAAAAAACGCGTTGAATTTTATTTTTGTTCGCCTCAAGAAATTTGAAATTCTTAAGCACAGAGCGGGGGGGAGCGTGGGGTGGGTAGGCACAGGCAGTGCCAGCGGCAGAGGCAGAGCCTTTCCTCACTCGTACGTGTGTGTGTGTGTGTGTGTGTGTGTGAACGTGTCAGTTTCGTGTTGAGCTTCTATCAAAAACACACACACGTCAAATAAATCAAATGTCACAATGGCAAGGGCCAGGAACCACGGGGCTGAAGAGGAATGGAGGGAGGGAGGGGGGGATAACGACAACGACGACGGCGACTGATGACGAACGCGTATCAATGTGTGCGTGCGTGTGTGTGTGTGTGTGTAGTAGTTGTTGTTGCGGTCAAACTGCCGCCAATTCCAAGCAGAAGCAGCGACAGAGGCAGCACCAGCAGCAGGCAGCAGCACTTCCTTCTTCTCGTCCACCCATACACTTTCACCAACAACAGCTGCGTGTGTGTGTGTGTGATGGCTATTAATTTAATGTTTATTAATATTATTTATTTCGGTTTCTGGCACGATTTTTATAGGATTTTTTATTTGTTTGCTTTGCGACTAGAATTTAAGTTCGGTTCTTTTTTTCGTTGATTATTTTGTGTGTGTTTTGTTTGCTGATTGACAAGCGCGTTCTTGTTTGCAATGTGTCGTCTAGCACCCGAGTACCGTTACAAGCGCCACTCTAACTGTGATTGTCGCCACCGCTGTGATTTCGGGCGATTAAAAACGCTACAATCAGCAGCGACATGATGTCTACGCTCAGCCGAACGAAAAGAGACAGACGTCTTTCGTTGTCGACGCGGAGCTGACAGCAGCACAAGCAGGCAGCAGGCAGCAGCAGCAGCAGCAGCAACGACAGCCAGCAGCGGCAGAGCATCAGAGAGAGAGCAATCAAACTGAGAGATAGATTGCAGCAGAAAGCGTGAGAGAGAGTGAGAGAGCGAGCGAGAACAACAGAACGGACGTTTTCCCCATTAAATTGATATATTGAGAGAGCGAATGATAGAGGGAAGATAAAACGCATGCGCTGGCTGGCTGTTCGGCAGCAGCTGCAATGCTTGTGTCAGAAGAACGCTGTTATTGCGCTGAGAGGGGGAACCAAACAGCACTGTTATGGCCTGTGAGAGCACAAACTCACCTGTGTGCGAAATTCTGTGAGAGCAGGCTGTGAGAGCGGGCTTCGCGAGAGCATGAGGGGGAGTTGTTTCTGGCAAAGAACTGCAATGGCCCTGAGAGCCATAATTGCAATGCTTTACAGCCAGGCGAAAGAGAGATAGAGAGAGAGAGAGAACTTTGCCGGAGAGCATGTGGCGTGTGTGACAGGTGTTTGTGTGTGGGGGCCGGTCTGGCTGCTGTCTGTGTCTGTCTCTCTCTCTGTATGGGTGGAAGTTGTGTTTGTATTGCAGCTGGTCAAAACGATTGAGCACTGGTGGGTCGGGGCGGTCGGGGGTGTGACGGGGGAGTGGGAGACCACGCCGACGGCGCTGCTCGCGTCGCTGTCGCTTAAATCAAGGTTATTTATTGAAATTGAAAATGAAGCAATGCAGCGGCAGGGGGGGCAGGGGGGGCTGGGCAGGACTAGGGCGGGTGATGGGGTTTCGCCACACGCATTGCTAAATGTTAAAGAGTTGCCACCACAGCCCGATAAAGTGAATTAATGCCTTTTTTTTGCATTTGACTAAAAGTTTTCTCCCCTCTCTCTCTCTGTCTCTCCTCCTCCTTTCACCCAGAAATGCGTGAGCCCGGGCGGGAACAATTGTTGCATGCACCGTAAAAGGAGGACAAGAGGAATGTGTGGCATGGATGAGGATGAGATTTTTGTGCGTAAAGATGGAAAGGGACAGCGGGCGGCTTTTACGGTGGTCTTAGAAGATTTCCCTCAGAAATGGGTCTTTTCTTTCAAAGGGTAACCTTTTCTCTCCCATTTTCCGCTGGCTTTCTCCCACGCCCTGCCTTTCTTTTCATCCGCTTTTCTTATCGCTCTCCCTACTATAATTATTTTCCGATATTTGTGCGCAGACAGCCATTACGCATCTTTATTAGTTTCTGTTTCGTCTTCGAAGCGTTTCAAAAGCATCAAGACGGGGAAAATATAAAAGAGGAAAGACTATTTTAGAGGCCGAAGAGTTTGGTACCCTTAAGGATTCATGCTTTCTACGTAGAATATAGGATATAATCATATGATAAGGATACATTTTATCGGAATCACCATTTTAACAGAGTTATCTTTCGGAAGAAAGATTTAGAAATATAAAAATATATAGGAAACAATTTCTTAGAGATATAGATCCTTATTTAAATTACGAGTAATGCCGTAAGACTTAAAAATATATAGGAAACAATTTCTTAGAGATACAGATCCCTTTTTCTGAGCATTAAATACGTTTACCCAGCGCGTATTACCCCTTTGAAAGAGTATAAAAAGCATTCTTAGAATTTCTTCCTTGTTCCTCTTCCACTGTTCCACTAAAACCAAACCCCAAATAAGGTTAAGTATACGCAGCGTTGCATTTTATGTGTGAAACAGGATTCGCAAGGCTTTCCGTTGGCTTGCATTGAAATCCATATTAGTTTGGCATTAGGAAAACTCCCATACATATATAACCCTTTAATTTTATGCGTTCTACTTCTTCGCTTTGGGATTTGCAGCACCCCCAACCCTCTGCTGCGGTCCACCCCCTCCCCCTGCTATTAGGGGCCTTTCGACCATCAATAGAATATGTATATCTGACTGAAATCGGATTGACAGGCGCTCGAATATCGCGACACCTGACAATTGTGGCCAAAATGCAGCGCCAACTGCTGTCACCCATCAAAACTTGGACACGCTCTGCGGATTTCTCTCTCTCTGTGTGTGTGTGTGCGTTTTGCTCGCTTTTTTTGGGGGGGGGGGACTTTTTTGTGGACTAGAAAAGTGACATAACGGAATGCTGGCTAGCCCCACTTTTGGGGGCTGCAGCATTGTGGCAAATGGATAGGTGCATTAGGTGGAAGGTTACGCCGAAGGCCGTGTGGGTGGTTTATTTTTTGTGTTTATTCTAAAGAAAAAATTCCAATGCGTACAGTAATTTGATAGCTTCTTCCTCCTTAAATATTCCCATACTTTTTTCCAGTATCCAAAATGTAATCCTCCACCTGAATTTTGTTTGTTTTATTTCCCTTCATCTGCCATGATTACTCATACTCTCACTTGCCCCCTTTGCCTTCCACTTCACTCACGAGATTGTTGCAGCACTGCAGGCAGACCCATCCACTGGAAGCTGCCAATTCGCTGCCACAAAATGTCATGTATCGCGTCCGTTTTTCTATTGCAGTAGCACAAAAAAAAAGAAATAAAAATTGGTCGAGCCCCCTCGCCTCCCCATAAATGTGAGGCTTTTTGTTGTTGTTGTTTAGGCAGCGGTTAACGTCCACAAATCGAATTGACACACGGATTTTTATCACAAGTTGCAACTTCGCAGCGATCCCAACCTCCTCCCCCCTCCCAGTGCCAGTGCCATCTCCTGTCCATCTGTCAAAAAATGCAGAATGCAAAAATGTCCCCCAACACCTCACAAGCGAGGCAGCGCCTGATGACGGACATCCAGACGGGGCATCCAGACGACACCGAGAACAACCGGAACGACTATAGCGACGCCACCATAAAAATCCAGGCGCCAGTTGTTCCTCTCTCTCCCCTGCCAATTTCCCCCTTTTTTAAATTTAGATGCAGATACTATAAAACTCTCAGATACATTCTGCACATGGATACAATTTTGAATGGCATCTGAGAGGAGAAGGAGCACACGGTAGCATTGAGGAGGAGTCAAAAGTTAAATAGAATCTATCCAACAATTTACACACACACACGCACACACATGCAGACACACAAAAAATTATTGTTTTCGGCAATTGTTTATGAGTTGTGGTTAAAAGTATCTGTCAGAATTTTAGGTAAATTTTTGTGCACAGCCGCGGGTGGTTTTTTCCCCATATTCTCACCCTCTCTCCCTTCAATGGAGATTGCAATTAATTTTGTTACAGATGGGTTACCATCCAGGGGAAGGTTGCATGCCCCACATGACATCTTCTCCTTCCCATCAGCAGTGCGAGATGAATGTGATGTGTTTCTGTGCAACTTTAAGATACATTTAAGGCATTGTTTTTTAAAGCACTTTGGCATATAAAATATATATTTCAGTTACCATTTTTAATTGATTTTTTATAAAAAAAACTTCCGACTTATAGATATATTTATGCATAGCTTTTAACACTCTAATAGTAGCATGTAGATATTTTTTAAGGTATTGTTTTTTTAAGTACTCTGAGAATAATTTTTAACAATAAAATAATAATATATTTCAGTTACCATTTTTAATCGATTTTCTATAAAAAAAATTCCAATTTAATGGATAACCTTTGATAATAATTTGTGTATATTTTTAAAGATTTTTCTATGATTTTTGATGAAAAAAAGAATTTTGTAGAAATATGTATTTTTTTTTAAACTTTTCTAGAAATATAAAATTTTAATATTATTTTTTAACTGTTTTTGTAGGACTTAAATTTTGCCAGCACTCTTAATTGTATTTGTAATATTTTCCTATCAATTTCCGTTCCAATATTTAAGAAAACTTCCTTTGAAATTCAATAAAATTCCCGAAAATACCTATCAATTGGCTTTGTGTGAAATCCCTTGGTAAAACAATTTCACTGCAAATTATACTCCACACAACCACAACTTATAGTCACATTATGGAAAGCTTAGCAAACATTTCGCCACCATTCATCAAACAGCAAAAGGATAC